AAGTTTAAAGCCGGATTTGGATACAAAAAGATTTCCCAAGCTTTAAACATCCCAAGGAGCACTGTGCAAGCAATCCTATTGAAATGGAAGGAGTATCAGACCACTGCAAATCTACCAAGACCCGGTCGTCCCTCTAAACTTTCATCTGGAACAAGGAGAAGACTGATCAGAGATGCAGCCAAGAGGCCCATGATCACTCTGGATGAACTGCAGAGATCTACAGCTGAGGTGGGAGAGTCTGTCCATAGGACAACAATCAGTCGTACACTGCACAAATCTGGCCTTTATGGAAGAGTGGCAAGAAGAAAGCCATTTCTCAAAGATATCCATAAAAAGTGTTGTTTAAAGTTTGTCACCTGGGAGACACCAAACATGTGGAAGAAGGTGCTCTGGTCACATGAAACCAAAATCCAACTGTTTGGCCACAATGCAAAACGATATGTTTGGAGTAAAAGCAACACAGCTCATCACCCTGAACACACCATCCCAACTGTCAAACATGGTGGTGGCAGCATCATGGTTTGGGCCTGCTTTGATGGGAAGATGGATGGAGCCAAATACAGGACCATTCTGGAAGAAAACCTGTTTGAGTCTGCAAGAGACCTGAGACTGGGACGGAGATTTATCTTCCAACAAGACAATGATCCAAAACATAAAGACACATCTACAATGGAATGGTTCACAAATAAACGTATCCAGGTGTTGGAATGGCCAAGTCAAAGTCCAGACCTGAATCCAATCGAGAATCTGAGGAAAGAGCTGAAGACTGCTGTTCACAAACGCTCTCCATCCAACCTCACTGAGCTCCAGCTGTTTTGCAGAAAGAATGGGCAGAATTTCAGTGTCTCCATGTTCAAAACTGACAGAGACAAACCCCAAGAGACTTGCAGCTGGAACTGCAGCAAGAGGCGGAGCTACAAAGTTTTAACGCAAGGGGGCCGAATAATATTGCACGCCCCACTTTTCAGTTTTTTATTTGTTAAAAAAGTTTGACACATCCAATAAATTTCATTCCACTTCACAATTGTGTCCCACTTGTTGTTGATTCTTCACAAAAAATTAAAATTTTATATCTTTATGTTTGAAGCCTGAAATGTGGCAAAAGGTTGAAAAGTTCAAAGGGGCCGAATACTTTCACAAGGCACTGTATGTATATGTATGAATGTATGTATATAATGCAGCTGTAACTGTATCACACACCTTACAATATACTAGAACTGTGACTTAATATCTTCTACAGAATGTTTCTGTACCGGATGAGTTTTTTAGAGTTTGAAATTTGTGTGGAAACGTTAACAAAGTACCACATATGGCACATTATTTGCCCGTCAACAAACTACAGCAATCTAAAGGAATGGCACAGACAAACAAAGGCCTTGCGTAACCTTTGACCTTTGTGAACTTGACTTTAGAACTCGATGCGCTGTCTACTGGTGTTATACCGCCTAGTGATGTTGCATATACGTATCAAGTTTTGTTACATTATCTTGAGCCGTTCAGAAATTATGATGTGGACAGGAGAAAGTTTATGGGCATGGGGACTACACCATACTCTGACGTGTGGATGATCAGAATGAATCCCACGATGTCATAATGGCTGAAAAGTGTGTGGATAGTTGGAGGGCATTTTCAACAAACCTGAAAATCACAATGCTGAGCTCAAGACATCAGCATTAATCTGAGTGACTGTGTCTCGTCAGATCACCACGCATCACGGTTCAGTTCTATTAGTGTAGACTCCATGGCCTTCACTGAACCTCATGAGGAAAACTTCCAGTTCAAATTTCAAACAGCTCTACAAAATGGCTGCCTCACCATGTAATGTAGGAGCAGATATTTCTAATTCAGCCCTGTAGCACAACAGACAGGTAAAAGGTTCTCCACAGAGAAGCAGCCAGGTTCTTATGGAACCAGACGAGACTGTTTCTGCACAGAGCTCTGAGCAGGGACCGCCACACTGGACTCTGAAAACCACTTCCTGTCAAGAGACCTGTACCCACCAGGACTGAGGCTCACATCCAGGCTGTAGGAGTGAGAGATGAGGCCAGAGTTCCTGATAAACGAGTCTTCATCAGCCTCCTCCTCCTCTTCTTCATCACTGCTCTCCTCTTCCCTCTCCATCCCACTCTTCTCTCGCTCATGGGCCTCCTTTCCTTTCTCCTCCTGCTGCTCAAACCTTTTATCCTCCGCCCTTCCATCTTCAGAATTTTTGGCCTCTCTGTCCATATCCTCCTCCTTCCTCTCTCTCATCCATCCGTCTCCTCCCTTCTCCCCTTTGAGCCTGTTCTTGTTGATCCTGCTCTCCTCCTCCTTCAGTCCTCCTGTCTTCTCCTGAAGGTTTCTGTCCTCCAGGAGAGTCTTGCTGCAGCAGGGCTCTTCTCCCTCTGAGGGTCTGGAGTCGGAGGAGCTGTTGCTGGCTGTCCGGAAATCTGCTAGACCAAAGTCGGGGAAGAGCAGCCTGGTGCAGGCCTCCATTTGTGTGAGCGCAGCCTCGATGTCCTGGACCGACTCTAACAAACAAATGATGCTTGGTCAGTGAAACAGAACCAGCTCTGGAACAGTTTGGTTAGTGTGAACTCTTCTGAGCCATGTTTGATTCAAACAGACACATTATTCTGCCATGACCAACATGCAACTCTGCCTGTTTTCAGTCTGGAGCTGAACCTGAGAGTCTCACCTAAAACTCTTTCACACCGATAATACACTTAGCTGGTCTTAGCTGCTGCTACCAGACCTTGGCATAGATAATATTAACTGAAATTAAATATACCGTATTTTTTGGCATATAAGTCACAGTTTTTTGCATAATTTGCATGCCCTGCAACTTATACGCCGAAGCGACGTATTTCTGCATTTTTCCCAAATTTATAAACCAATTTTTGGCTGAAATGTGACCGTTTTCATTCTGACTGAAAATATTGAACACTACCATTTTCAGCTGCTAGATGGCAGCAGAGTACCCGCTTCCACAAATCAGCTTTTGAATGCTGCTGATTTGACCGTCAAAGTGCATTTATGAAGCGAAAGTTAGACTGAGACACACCTTTTCTGTAATTTTGAGCAAAGAAATAATTGTTTTTAAGTGTTAATCTTGTTAAATTATTGTTAAAGTCCTCCCATGCACGCTCCTGCGGCTGCCATTCGGCAGCCAATCGATTTTTGGTAAAACACCGGCCGACATTTCCGGGTTGTCAGCGGTAACGCATAACAAACGCGACGCGTCAGCGGTGACGCAAAATAGATGCGACTTATATGATGAAATGACATATTTATGGATTTTTCCACTTTATTAGACAAATATGGACTGATGCGACTTATATGGCGGTGCAACGTGTATGACGGAAAATACAGTACTTGCCGAATATATATATGATGTTAGCTGGCGTTATCCAGTAATAGCTGACGTGAGCTGATGTTAACTGATATTTAGCTTTGGATTGAGTTAGTTAATAGCTGAGTTTAGCTGATCTTAGCCAATAATAGCTGATGTTAGCTTAAGTTAACCAATCTTAGCTTATGTGAACTGATTTCAACTGGTTCTTGACTTTAGCTGAGGTTAATGTTGGTTGATAATAGCTGGTACTCCCTGATAATACACATGTAAGCCATTAATTAACAGATTCTAGACAATGTAAACTAATGTGAGCTGATAACCGATGCTAACCAAACTAAAAATAAAACACACACTCAGAAAAATAACTGGTATTAGTTGATATTAGCTGATATAGCGGAAGCAGCATGGTGGTGAATGTACCTTCCATCTCTTTAGCTGCTGCCTCCATTCTAGCTTTGTAGATCCTCTCCATCTTCTGGTCTCTCTCCTCCTGCCTCCTCCTCTCTGTAACGGTTCTGGCCTCAGCATCCTGAAAGTCCACCTAAACACACAGATGGCTCATAAAGTTCAGCCCAAAACCTGAAATTGAGCTTCGCAGTGCTGCTGTGATTATACACCTACAGATTCATTCTAAATATTTTGTGTCATATGAGTCCATTATTATTTGGTCCAAACAATGCCATCCTCTGGTCTGCAGACACCAGGCTCAGAGGTGTCCCCACGCACAGCAATAACTTCCCAGGATGTTTTTGTTTTCATGCCGGGGGTGTAGGTGTCTCTAAACCTGCCCTGATCGTGTAAGAGCCGCACACTTCAGCTAAATGACAACCTGTAATTAAAGCTGCGTAAAGCGGCGCTTTGCTACCAGGGCCTTCAATGCTGCTTGCAGCTTTAATTTTTTAAGTTGTCATGCTTACAACATGCATACCCTCGGTCCATGCATGTTGTAAGCATGACAACTTAGAAAATAAGTTGGGTACTGACAACATGCATGGACTGAGGGTATTTCCTATTCCCCCTCTTGGCTCTGCGACGGGGGAAATGAAGATCACTGCATCTCTGTCTCTGACTGTAATCAACTTGTCAAAAGTTGTGTCATTACCTCCATTTGAAATGTGACTGAGGTGGTTGAACTATGTTCAAGTCTGAATAATGACATGCGTAACTGCAGACTCCAGATGGACGGATGCATACACACAACTTAAGACATCTCTGAGTTCACAACAACATCAGTGAACCTCTTGTGGTCATGGAAGTTGATCAGCAGTGTGAAAACAGTCAGGATGGAGATCAGATGTGAACACACAGACTGAAGCTGTGCACCTTTTGACCAGCACTCGTATGAGTTTTACAATACGTTCCTAAACCGTAGTTTAGGCGAGTGTTTCTAAAGGTTTGAACACAACCGCTGAAGGTGCTTTCTTTAGTTCACTCTACAGCAGGAGAAACTCTACAAATGTTATGAGGAGAAAATAAAAGCTCACGGTTTCAATATCCCACTGCATGTGCAAGAAAAAGGAGAATAAGGCAAAATTAAATGTTTTAGGTGGGCCAACATTTTTCAGTCAGGTCATCTGGACAGTTTCTTTTTTTGTGATGAAACGCTTCACCTTCCATCCAGAAGGCTTCATCAGTCAAGGAAACACAAAACTGATTCTTCCCCCAACAGCTTACTCCAAAGTGGAAATCTTCATCTTCATCTTAGCACCAACATAACTGGTTTGTTCCACTTTGGAGTAAGCTGTTGGGGGAAGAATCAGTTTTGTTGTGTGTCTCCTTGACTGATGAAGCCTTCTGGATGGAAGGTGAAGCGTTTCAGCACAAAAAAAGAAACTGTCCAGACAACCTGACTGAAAAATGTTGGACTGTATACCTGGATTATTGAGCATGAACTTTGTTGGTTTTAGGTGGTGTTTCTAATCAAACTCTGAATTCAATTACTGGGATTCTTCTGACCTTTTTAACCTGTTTGAGGAAGTGGTAACCCAGTGCCAGCTTCTTATACGCAGAACCATAAGAGGCGTGCCATGACTGGACGGCCTGAATGGCCTGGGATCTCAGTTTCCTTGCTACATCCTTCGGAGGAGGGAGAGGCTGCTCTGCATCCGTCTCTACTGTCAACTCCAAGAATTCCTGGAGAGAAAAACCAGTACACAGTATTATCATGGCTGTATTTTAAACAAAACATCTTTATCACACGGATTCCAGTCTGGTTTTAAACTTGTCTAGTGAACCGTTCTGTTTTCAGAACTAACTGGGTGACAACATATTAAAAAAGAATAAACTTTATTTGCCCAAGAGGGAATAGACTGAAAGATGGAGGCAGCTCCCACTCCTTCCTTTAATAACAGACACCAGTTTTGTGCCATCTCACTTTTGCTACTAACAGTTTCTCGTATTAGCTGATTTGTAGAGTTAAAAGCAGTCCTGTTTTCAGGTTATGGTTTTTGGGTTTAGGAAAGGCTTTCTCCCTTTAGATTTGTTTGTGATATTTATTATAATAAAAATTATTTAAATGTTGCAGTTAGACCAGCCACTAGTAAGCACAAGCCAGTGTATCTCGTGTGCTGATCCCAAGCCCAAGTAAAATGTGAGGGCATCTGGCAACAAACACGTTTGCTGAAACAAACATACAAGTTTGTCCAGAAGAAAACATACCAGATCCAAAACCACCACCACTGGTGTTGGTGACAAACAGGGTGCCGGAAAACAATAAGATGGTGTTAGTCAAAGACCACAAGGAGAGAAACGTGTCAGGAGACAGAGGGAGAAGAGGAAAGTCAAGAATGTAGGACTGAGGGTTGCAACTCTAAATGTGGGGACGATGACAAACAATGGTAGAGAGCTGGCTGGCATGATGCAGAGAAGGAAGGTAGATGTTTTGTGTGTGCAATAGACCAAGTGGAAGGGCAGCAAGGCTCGCAGCATTGGAGCAGGTGTTAAACTGTTTTGCCATGATGTGGTTAGAAAGAGAAATGGAGTAGGGGTGGTCCTGAAGGATGAGCTGGCAAAGAATGTAGTAAAGGTGAAGAGAGTGTCAGATAGAGTGAGGTGTCTGAAGGTGGAAGTAGAAGGTCTGATGCTAAACGCTGTCAGTGGTTATGCTCCACAGGTTGGATGTGTACATTTTGGATGGATCTGGATGAAGTGATAGAGTATTCCCAGAGAGGAGAGAGTGTTGAGCGGAGCAGACCTGAATGGACATGTTGGAGATGAGGAAGTGATGGGTAGGTTTCGTGTCAAGGAAAGAAACCAGGAAGGACAGAAGGTGGTGGATTTTAGCAAGAGGTTAGTCTATTTATTAAATATTTGGATCAGCTGTAGTTTGGTTCAAGTAGGTTTTATCATCATTCGCACCACATGTGGTACATGTGGTGGAACAAAATTGTGTGCACAGGATCCCAGTTACATCCAACAAAAGTATAAAATGTAAAAGAAAAACAGTAATAAGATCTAAGATATAAACTAAGAATACGCTAAACACTAATAATGTAAAACAATACGTCGAACAGCAGCACGAACATGAGTCTGTGTGAGCAGATGAGGACGAATGAACACAGCAACATGAAATAAATCAGCAGCATGAGATCAGCTGCACATATCATCAATCAAGCGGCATTACAGTGATTTATTTTCAGTGATTATTCTAGTTAGAGATTCATGAGTCTAACAGCCTCAGGGTAGAAGCTGTTCCTCAGTCTAGTGGTTCTACACTTAATGCTCCTCAACCTCCTGCCTGAGGGGAGCGGGGCAAAAAGTGTGTGTGCTGGGTGAGTGGGGTCCTTCATGATGCAGGTGGCCCTCTTCCTGCATAATGAAGGCACATTTTGGATTAGCCATAGTTTGTTTATGAAACATTTAAAATCATAGCACAGAAACAGCACTAGTTAAAGTTGCTAATGATATTCTCATGGTCTCAGACAATGGACTGGTGTCTATACTGGTCCTGTTAGACCTCAGTGCTGCATTTGATACAGTTGATCATAATATTTTACTACAGAGGCTTGAATATGATATTGGGATTACAGGAACAGCTCTAAATTGGTTTAAATAATATTTATCTGATATATTCCAGTTTGTAAATGTAAATAATGAATCTTCTCCCTAAAACAAAGTTAGTCATGGAGTTCCTCAAGGTTCAGTGCTTGGACCAATACTCTTTACCTTATATATGCTTCCTTTAGGTCAAGTTATTAAACAGCATGAGATCTGTTTTCATTGTTATGCTGAAGAATCAGTTACTGAGACTTGTAGTCTAAGTAACTGTCTTAAAGACATAAAAACCTGGATGACCCTAAATTTTCTGCTTTTAAACTCAGACAAGACAGAAGTTGTGGTTTTTGGACCTGAGCACTTTAGGAACATATTTTTCAGTCTTTCACTTTCTCTGGATGACATTAATATGTCCTCCAGCTCTAATGTTAAAAATCTTGGTGTTATTTTTGATCAGGACATGTCTTTTATCCCCCACAATAAACACACATTTTGGATCAGATGTAGTTTGTTTACGACACATTGTTGATCAGCTGTAATCTGTTTAGTCACATTTTCGGAGGCTTGTAAAAATCCAACCCAATAAACCTAATAGTGATAAATCTATTAAATTTTTTTTTAAGTCAGATTTGATACAAACTCGAGGGTGAAATAAAGAACTGGGATGCTTAAAATTTGTAGCTTTACCTGGAAGTTGTCCACCAGTAGCGTCCTGAAGTGGTGAGATCTTGAAAAGAGCTCACTGACAATCTGGAAGGCAGACAGTCGGATCTCCGCGTGGTCCTGGTTTAACTGGGTCATCAGTAAGTGGTACACCTGGTCAATGCAGTCATTGGACGTTCTGAGGGACATAAACAAAACAGAGCTGAGATCCAGAACTTGGGTTTGTGCAGATCCGGTCGCCTGTTAAAACACTGAATGAGGGTTAGGAGTAAGCTCTCTGTTCCAGACCTGCAGATGTTTTTCAGCTCCCTGGTCTTGTTTTGGTCCAGCTGTGGCTGTCCAGATGTAGTCAGTTCTTCCACTACTTGCTGAAGCCGCTGCCTCTGAGGCATTTCCATCATTGACACACAGACAAGTTAAAGACCTGGCAGAAGGAAGATGAAGCAAGAAACTTCAGAATAACTGACTCATCAGCCTGACAATCCAAGACAGACACACAGACAGACACAGAGAGACAGAAAGACACAGACAGACAGAAAGACACAGAGAGACAGACACAGAGAGACAGAAAGACACAGACAGACAGAAAGACAGAAAGACACAGACAGACAGAAAAACACAGACAGACAGAAAGACACAGAGAGACAGAAAGACACAGACAGACAGAAAGACACAGACAGACAGAAAGACACAGAGAGACACTGCGGTAAAGTTAGATTGGAAAATGAGACTGTATGAATCGGACTGACAGAGCAACACAGCGCTGAAGCTACGGAGCTCAAATTTCCAACTAAAACCAACTTGACCGCTGTCAGACAGACGGTGAGATGGTCAGACCAACAAACGGACAGGTAAGACCCAACAAGACAAACACCTTTGATTCAAAATGTCTCAACTCAATATCAGTATCGATAGTGGAACAACCGAAATAAAAAGAACCATTAATCTCCAGTTAGTGTATCGTGAATTAATGAACATTAATCTGTATGAAGTTTACATGAACTTTAATTTAACCCGAGTTTACGTTAAGAACCAACAAACATGAATCTGTATTCAGTTTACTACGAACGCGTTTCCTCGTTTTATAATGCCACTCACCGACTGTTTTATCGTTTAGACCTTAAAATGTCAAATCGCAACAAATACTGCACAGAGCAACATTTCTTCTTCTTCTTCTTCTTTATCTTGTTGTTATTCATTCTTCTTCGACGGTTTCTATTGGCGGTTGGCAAACAAGTTGGTGTATGACCGCCACCGCCTGGTGCGGAGGGTAAACTGCAAGATCGAAAACTAAACGTATTTGAGAAAATTAACAAAATCCATGCTCAATAATCCAGGTATACAATCCAACAATTTTCAGTCAGGTCATCTGAACAGTTTCTTTTTTTTTTTTTTTTTGGTGCTGAAACCTTTCACCTCCCTATTTGAGAAAATGTACCATAGCCCTGTAAGATTTTGAATTCTTCTGTAGTTTTTCCTTCATTCATTCAACCTTTATTTAGACAGGTGAATCCCATTGAGCCTCGAGGACTCGTTTACAAGAGAGACCTGATTTCATCAAAAAATGATGACAACAATGGACAACAGCAACAACAATAAACAGTTATAAAAAGTCATACTCCAGTTTTTTTGTTTTTAAACAAATAGGATGGCTAAAAAAATTAACAAAAAACAGCTAGATTCTAAGGCGAATGTAGAAAACTAAAAACAGGAACATGTCTGCATTATTAGTAAATAATTGATCTAAGTTTACTTTTATTTTAGTAAGACTGTCAACTGGGGCAGCTGTGGCTGAGTGGTTAGAGCAGTCGTCCTCCAGTGCAAGAGTTGGGGGTTCGAATCCACCAGCAGTCACATGCCGAAGTGTCCCTGGGCAAGACACTGAACCCCCCCATAGCCTCCAATGTGTGTCCCATCAGTGTATGAATGTGATAAAGCTCTGATTAGTCTCTTTCTATTAATTTGTTCAATTAGCTTTGTAGAGATCTAGTATAGAGCTGTATGAATGGGTACATATTGTAGTGTAAAGAGCTTTGAGTATCTTGATCAGATAGAAAGGCGCTATATAAGTACAGTCCATTTACCATTCAATCAGTGGAACTCCTTTATGTCTGTATTCCTGGCAGCATGCCGAATTGTCTCATCTTCTCCACGATTTTCCCATTTGCCTGTTTTATGTTTCCCTATTATAAAGAATGTCTTGTTAATCCTGTTTGTTTAAATGCATAGTAAACATTGTACCATCTGATATTATCCTACAAAAACAAGAATACAGATATACTTTGTATATTTATTAAAGCATTGCTTTTTTAATCAATCACTAGAAACAAATACAGATTTACCATGCATTGCAAATTTCAGATTTAGTAAAAAGTTACATCTCCATATCCATTTGTTGCATCAATCTACCATTAAAAAACACAAAAACAACTAAATTATCATATTAAATTATGGCATCAAAACATTATAGTCAGAGGTGTATATGGTATGGAAGAAGTAACTTTATCCCAACAAGCATGTCTCTCCAAACACGAGGACTAGCATGTGTATAAGCACGTACATACACAAATACAACCACAGTGAGGACATAGAAAAGTTACAAACTGCATGTACTGTATCCTGATGCATGCTCATGTAATTGCATGAACTGTAATTAATTTATCAATCATCCAACTCTAATCAGCTTTACCTCCATTTTCATCAACAGCTGTGATCTGCTGTCTGTTGATTTTCTACCATTCTAACATCCTCATCTCTGTCTTCATCTCCATCATCACTCTCACTCCCTGCTAGATTGTCACTATGACCTAATTTCCTCATCAACCTCACTGATGGAGAAATATATTCTTGCTTACCTTGCTCCACCTCCTGCACTACCGGCAGAAGGTTGAACACCTGGAGAGCTGGTGCAGGAAGAACAACCTTCACATCAATGTGAAGAAGACGAAGGAGATGGTCATGGACTTCAGAAGGAACAAACACACCTCCTCCCCCCTGAACATAGGAGGATCTTTGGTGAAAGTGGTCTCCAGCCACAAGTACTCGGATGTGCACCTCAATGACAACCTCATCTGGGGCAACAACACCACCAGCCTGATCAAGAAAGCTCATCAGAGACTCTACTTCCTCAGACGGCTGAGGCGAGCTGGTCTGGGAAGCTCAGTCCTCACCTCCTTCTCCAGGTGTGCAGTGGAGAGCATCCTGTGCTCCAGCATCAACGTGTGGCATGGAGGCTGCACAGCTGCAGAAAGAAAAGCTTTGCAGAGAGTGGTGAAGGCTGCACAGAAGATGTTGGAGTCAGTCTCCTGATGCATGCTCAATAATCCAGGTAGAAAAAAAAGTTAAATCTGGTCCTCTGGACATTCAAAAAGAAAAAAAACATAACCAAAAAAATAATAATTGTAGAAACGTTTCGTCTTTCATCCAAAAAGACTTCCTCAGTCTGAGGTGCTGTATTCAGCTCAGTCTCTTAAATAGCACCTTCTCAGAGTGGATCAACCAGTTTTGCTGCTGACAACCAAAACCAACTGATCACATGCTCAAGAAGGACCATCAGCCTAACAATGGATCATTAGCACACTGATGGCTGTTTACTGTTCACAGAGGGCTGAGTGATACTAGCAATAACAGCATTGTAAGAGGGGGACAGTTGAACCCGGAGGCCTCCACCCCTGTTTAATGATGGACGGTTTCTTTTCACAAAGATGGCCTCCTTTACTCCTCTCTCAAACCCTCGTTCCTCTCTATCCAGGATGTGAACATCTTCATCCCTGAAAGAGTGACCGCTGGCCTGGAGATGAGTGTAGACCGCAGAGTCCTGGCCTGATGATGTTGATCTTCTGTGCTGGTCCATCCTTTTGGCCAGTGGCTGTTTAGTTTCCCCGATGTAAGACTGATCACCCTCCTGACACTGAACAGCATACACAACATTGCTGTTTGTGCCGGGGGACTGGATCTTTGGTATGAACCAGGATCCAGTCTTTAATGTATTTTGGGGTTTAAAAGCCACTGGGACGTTATGTTTAGAAAATAAACGTCTCAGTTTCTCTGATACTCCCTCAACATACGGAATGACCACTGGTCTGGGTCTGGGTTCCTCCTTTTCACCTGATTGCTGACTGGAGTCCTGTTTGGGTTTCTTCTCTGCTTTCAGGAAGGCCCAGTTAGGATATCCACATTGCTCTAGAGCCTGTTTTGTGTAGGATTTCTCCTTCTGCCTGGCTCCCGAGCTAGTGGGGACGCTGTCTGCTCTGTGGTACAGAGTCCTGATGACTCCTAACTTGTGCTCCAAAGGGTGATGGGAGTCAAACTGCAAATACTGGTCTGTGTG